AGATCGTCCCTTTCACGTAGTGTGTGATGCATCCGATTTTGCGATCGCATGTGCTTTAATGCAAATCGATCACGAGGGTCGTGATCGAGTCGTCTACTACCAGTCGCGTCAGCTGAAGCCAGCTGAACGAAACTATCCGGTACATGACAAGGAACTCCTTGCCATGAAGTATGCACTCGCGAAGTTCCGAGTGTACTTACTCGGCAACACGCCGTTCGTGGTCTATACAGACCACGCGTCGTTGCGGACGGCTGTGAAGTCTCCGCACATCTCGCAACGAATGGCGAGATGGTTGTCCTTCTTCGCGGAGTACAACTTCCGGGTCGAATACAAACCCGGAAGATTGAACGTCGTCGCGGACGCATTGTCACGACGACCGGATTATGCCGTTACGGCAGTCGTACATACACACCGTCATCGTCCTTACTGGACGAGGTGAAGGCCGCGTATGCGCATGACGCAGACGCGAAGCAGCTGATCGAGTTCCTCTCAGCTCCTTCCGACAAAGCACGTCGGAAGTTGGCCCCTCGTCTACGAGCAAGTGCACACCGGTATCGTGTGCACGACGGTCTACTGCTTTACAGCGCTGTAGACGACAATGCGGAACGCATTGTCGTGCCGAATGATCCTGACCTGCGCAGCAGGATCATGTACGAGTATCACGATGTCCCCACAGCAGGACATCCGGGACGTGAGAAGACGTACTCTCTCCTCACACGAGACTTCTACTGGAATCACCAGTGCAAGTGGGTGCGCAAGTACGTACATACTTGCGATGTTTGCCAGCGAGTGAAGCCTGCACCTCACTCGCAGGCTCCTCTGCAACCACTGCCGACTCCGTCGGAGTGTTGGGAGTCCGTTTCGATGGACTTCGTGTTTGGTCTTCCGCGCGATTCCAGGCGGAAGACTGGTATTGTGGTCTTTGTGGACCGCTTCAGCAAGATGGTGCATCTCGCTGCTGTCGCAGCGGAGGTGACCTCCGTACAGACGGCACGTCTGTTCGTAGACATTGTGTTAAAACACCATGGCATGCCCAACGACTTTGTGTCGGACCGCGATCCGCGCTTCACGGCGCGTTTCTGGCAAGAAGAGTTCACCCTTCTTGGAACACGGTTCTCCATGTCGCCTGCGGATCATCCGCAGACGGACGGACAAACCGAGCGCGTGAACCGCGTGCTCATGGACTTGTTGAAAAGCTACGCCCAGTCGTTTCACAACTGGAGGGACTACTTGCCGATGCATCAACAACGCGGTGCATGCCTCGACCGGGCATACACCGTTCTACGTGAACGCCATGCGGCATCCACGCCTTCCGAGCACACTCGGGGCGGTGGCTTCCTCCTTAAGTGGGGGAGGATCTACGGTTGCGTCCGAACAACCGCAGTAGACAGCTGATACGGACTTATCAGCTGCGATAACACATGCGAGAGCGAGAGCCCGCACACGACAAGGCGACGTGTCAGTGCCGAGCACTGACACTGTGAAGAACCACAAGCAGGCGACACCTGCTGCGAACAAGGACAATGTGTCTGTGCGGGGCACAGACACCAAGAAAACTCACGCACAGGC